TCTGTTGGCGCTATATAAATGGAAAAAATAATAATAATAATAAAAAAAAATACACAGACTATACATAGGTGTAGTGTCTATAACATATCATTACTGTCAATTTTCTTGTAATTGTCCTATTTATAGTTAAATACGTAAATCCCTCTCTTATAATATTGTTAAACGCTATGGAATATGTTGTACATGTTTTACTATTTTATGAAACTTAAGTTACTGCATTTGTACTTTCATATTGCAATTTGGCATTTAAAGGGACATCCCGGGCAGCAATACTACTTTAATACATAAATTTAATAAATATTTTGCAGAATGCTACACTATAAGCCAGCCTCTTTAGCCACACTTCCTAACTCCAGAAAAATACTTCCTTATCAAAAGTACACAGCTCAGCCAGTGACAGCACTGAATGATCTGAACAACAAAACAACCTGCATTAAAAGAAGCGGACACCCAGGGAGGCATATAATAAGGATATCACTACCTGACTGTAGTCTATCTGTCTGTCTGCAGCCAGACTGAGACATGGGGCATGGCTAAGCAGGCAGGCATATGGTGCAGATTTTTTTTTTTATTTTTTTTTAAAGCTATTGGGATCTGAGCATGCAGAAATTACAGCATTATAATGAGACCAAAATGTATCAAATTCAATAAGGTAGTATTGGTGCCTGACGTTTCCTTTTAAGATAGGTACCTCATTACGTATCTGTTAATAATACATAATAAAAATTAGATTAGGATGAGAATGTGAAAATATAAACACATATATACACATACAAGTATTTTTTTTCTTATTATCCTTTTTTTATGTATGGTTTTAATGTGTATTTTGATTGGTATCCATTATAATGATATACGGTAAGAAGTTTATATGTGGGTAGTGGTATTTAGTTAAAGTGGCTCTGTCACTAATAGTTTGCTTTATTTAATCTAGTTCTATATAGCTCCCTGTGTCTTAATCACTTTATTGTTATCCTGAGCGCTCTAGTTTATATCAAATACACAGTAGTTGTTGTTTTTTGATGAGCTGAACTGAAGAAAATGTTTATTTAAGATACCAATCAGGCATTACACCTTCTATTGATGCAAGATATACTTGTACCTATGAGCACTAAAGAGTAAGGGGAATAACTTACCCCATATTTATATTGACATGCACAGAAAATAGTTCAGTACATAAAAAGCAAACAGAGAGAATACAAAATGTAGTGCAAATGGTCATAATATTACAATAATGTTACTTTAGAAAGTCAGGCCACTCTCATGTGATGGGGCCTATGTATATTGGCTCTGTATATAAGGCTGTTATGCTCTTAGGGCAGCATCACACCACTCCTTCATAGAGATGTACCCTCTGGTAAAAAGAGAAAGACCAACAATTTGTAGTATTCCCAATAAGATCAATACAAATATCAGGTAGGTATTGAGCTAACCTTATTTAGAGCCTATACTCCTGGCTTTGAGTTATGTAGGTATAGTCAGTGGTGTATTTTGTATTTGTGCTGCCCTAGGCCTGACTAAACTCGATACCCCCCTAATCCAAATTTGCTGCACCTCTTCCTGTTTAAGACCAACACACACTTTTTTCACTAATACATGCACTGACGGATACTCACTAACTTACACACACTCACAGACCACTTATTTGACACACTCTGACAGACACACACATTCGCTGACAGCAGCACACTCCCTGACAGACACACACATACACTCACTGACAGACACAAACATTCACGGACAGACACACACATTCACTGACAGACAAACACATTCACTAACAGACACACCCACACTCACCGACAGACACATACACCTTCACTGGTGGACTCACATTAATTGACACACAGTCAGTGACAGACAGACAGACAAACACACACAGGCAAACAAGTTCTCATACACTCACTAATTATTATTATTATTTAAAAAAAAAAAATAAGTCCAACCACCCTCCCTACCTTTGGGGGGCTGGAATGGATCCTGTCCCTGGGCTCGTGATCAAAAGTTAAGTACTACTCATTGTAAAACATTTTACTATTTGTGTTCTTCACCTTTTGGTGATACATTTGTTGGTTACCTGGGCTCCGGTGCCTGCTGGCGTCCTTGGAACTCCTGTGCCTGCTGGTGTTCTGGAAGCTCTTGTGGGTGCTGGGGGCTTCTGGTATGTTGGGAGATTCCGTGGGTGTATGGGAGATTTTGTGGGTGTATGGGAGATACTGTGGGTGCTTGGGAGCTCCTGGTTTGTACTACGGGCTCATGGTGGGTACTGGGGAACTCCTGATGGGTGTGATGTGGGGATCCTGTGGGAACTGCTGTAGAAGTAGAAGAGCTCCTGTGGGTACTTGGGAGCTCCTGGTGTGCTGGGAGCTGCTGTGGGTGTATAGGAGTTCCTGTGGGTGCTGAGGGGATCCTGGTGGGTGCTGGGGGCTCATGGTGGGTGCTGAGGGGATCCTGGTGGGTGCGGGAGGGGTCATGGTGTGTGATGGGGGCTTATGGTGAGTGCTGGGGCACATGGTGGGTGCTGAGGGGATCCTGGTGGGTGCTGGGGGGCTCATGGTGGGTGATGGGAGCTCCTGGTGATTGCTTGGGAACTTCTGGTGGGTGCTGGGGATCCTGTGGGAGCTGTAGAGTCCTGAGGACTGATAGGCGGGCAAGCCATGGTAGGCAACGAGGGAGCTGTAATTATCTTTTTTATTCCGGACCTGAACAAAAAAATCCTTTCACTATCTAAAAATGTTGATGGTCATTCCTTTTTAATGTGTTTTTTTACTAGTAGTTGTTTCTTATTCAGTGCACCACTAAAGATTAGTTGTGGTTTGTCTGGCAGGATATTAGCTAAGAATGGGTCCTGTTTTAGTTAGTATTTTATTTAACTCCTTATGACCATAACCATAATTGCAGATAATTGGTATGTAATTCATCATATCTTTGTTTCTTTTTTCTTCTTTTTTTTTTCTAAGAGGACATATCTCTGGATATTTAGCACCTGTGTGGAACTGATTTGTAGTTCCTTTTTCTAATACTCTTTCTCCAATATGTCTTTTTTTTAGTCTATCCACTTATACCTATCCTTAAACCTATCTACCTCCATACAGTTCATTTTTGTGCCTTTGGGATGGCTTTCAGCCAAGGTGCATAGTGACAGGTAGGAACTTGTATAAAACTGTTCACGTCAACAATTTTAAAGTGTGTGCCAGTTTTTACATTCTTATTTTCAATAAATATGATCACAACCAAAAAGTTGACAGTATTTTTCCTGAAATTGGTTGTTAAACATGTTTCCCAACTGTTTTTAAAAAAACAACGGTATTTAATCTAATAATTACATCTATAAAACTGTGCCCTTTGCCTCTCCCGATAAAAATCAGGTCCTCTATGTATCGGTGATAGGTATCAAGGCCCTCTACCCAGCTCTGATTAGGGTTGCCAATCTACCATGAAAAGATTGGTAAATCTACGAATCTTGTTCCCATCACCGTTCCACTGACCTGTAATTAAAATATCCCATTGTATTTACCCACAGTTCACCAGTAGGTATTCCACAGAAGGTCAAACTGCAGACATCACAGACAGAGGAGGACAAAATGGCTGCACCCAGATATTGAAATTTAGCTCAAGGAAGAAAAGATAATATATAAAAATAAAGCAAAATGGCAAAAAGGAAGATACAGTAATTAAGATACATTGGATATAAACTAAGGAAACCCCCAAAAATGACAGTGACACATTAATAAAGGAGTCTCTTGATCAAACATTGCTCATATTCAACTTTACTCTGACACTTAAATGTTAGTTTGAAAAAAATACCTTTGATATGCAGTGGGTAAATACATAGGCAGAATTATTATGAAACAGGGAGCGGTGTTGGAATTTGAAAGAAAAAAAGAGAGGTCATAGGGTCGGCAAATTGAAGCGAAATACCTGTCGCACTGCAAAAGAATAGTGATCAAACCTTCAAAGTAATTCCATCATCAGACTGCGTTAGTCGGAATTTAACTTACCCCCACTTCCTCCACATCCACATCCACATGTCCTCTTCAAACCCTCAAATGAACATTTGGTTATAATTCACATGGGCATGTTCACATGGAAGAAAATCTTCGCACATTCAATTTAATCAAAATAAACAAAAGTTTTTATTTTCAATGTGAAAGTAATTCCAGCAGAAATAATGTGCATCCAGAGGAGGCAACTTCAACAAAAAAATACCTGTAATTAGGTGGCTTTTTTTTTTAAAACAAGTTAATGCCTTAAATATTTATTTATTTTCATTTTATTTATAAATCTGTATAGTGAGGTATAACATTTAAAAACCCACGTATGCTATAGGCTCCTTTTTCTTATATATTAAAACTTTTACTCCATTTATCAGTGACTTTTTTCATCATTCTCAGTAACGTGACAAAATAATGTCTTCCGTCTCCTTTTTTCAGATGATTTTACCATTGGTTATTTTTCAACCTTAAACTAAGAGGAACAATTTTATTTTTGTTCATAACCCCAATCATACATCCGGGCCACTAAGCAAACTAGTGTCACATCATGTCATGTTCTACAGAGATGTCTGGCCTTGGCTTCTGGTATTCAGTACTCTTTTTATAATTCTTGTTCAGTTTTTCTGGTTTTCTATTCCACGTCTAGTTTTCTTTATTCTGGGTTTTTCTGGGTTCATTCCTGTAATCCGTCCCTGGATTCACAGTCTCCAGGGCTCCTTGAAATGTTTGTTTTATGTTGCCACACCCGTTTGTTTTCCATCATTCCTTTTGTTTCAGTGGTCCCTGCAGGCAGCTGCTCAAGGCTTCTGCCCTTTCTTGCAGGTAAGTACTATGTGTGTTTTCTTTGGTTGGTTTAGTATACATTAGGCAGAGTAGGACCTGCCAGATATGGGGTACATTGGCGTTGTTGGCAGGCTTATGCAATGTATGATCATATAATGTAACTAAATCCCCATGATTTTCATATATAGTACTTAGTTATTTCTCCTCTTGTTTTGCCTATCATATCTTGTCTTGTTTTAGTTTGTATTCCCAGTCCATGTATAGTCCTGTCCTGTCCAGCCCATGTTATGTCTGTTTCCCTAATGTATTGTGTACATGTGCTGGGTTTAGCTTCCTATCCTTCTCCAGTTCTGGGTTCTACTAGTTCTGTCTTGTTTTCATGTTTGGTGACTATCCTAGCCTTGCTTTGTTTCTGTACTGGATACAATCCTGCTGCAGAGCCACCCTATTCAGCTCTGGGAGGTCTGCTTAATTCCTGCTCCTAGTTCCTGGGACCGCATAAGCTGAATCAGGGTTCTGGTATGTGGCCGCACAAACGCTGGTGCTCAACACCAGGGGGCGTGTGGTTATCCTGCACCAGGCCCGGATAAATCCACTCTCATGCTAAAGACTCCCACTTATCATCAGACACTCAGGGATCCCGGTTTCTGTACCGCCACCCGTGACAACTAGGCAGCCACTTATGGCATATCAATGCAGGGGGCACAATCTACAGATGATTGACAGGTGGGGAGAGCACTCCACAGCGCTCCTTCTGCCAGTCACTGCATGTAACATTGGACCACTATAGTTGATCTTCGGTATCCTTTCTATCCTTTCTGACAGAAGGCCGCTCGCTGAGAGCAACAAGCAGCTTCCTGTCAGACCCAATAGACGAAATAGAAGATCCTCTACCACTGTCCGATCTGCCAAGCTACATGAATGTAAACATAGAGATGCTGGGGGGGGGGCAAAGAGACTCACAGAAGGTCTGAGGGGGAGACTCACACAGCGCTGAGGATGGACAAACAAACACACATATGGTCGGGGGGACAAAGAGGCACAAAGAGGGGCTTGGGGGGGACAAAGAGTCACACAGAGGGCTGGGAGGACAAAGACATGCAGATGTGCTGAGGATTACAAAGAGACACACAGAAGGGCTTATGGGGACACAAAGTGGCTGTGGAAGGGGACAATGACACACAGACAGGGTTTGGAAAGTGGCACAGTGACACACAGAGAGGAACTGTGTAAGGGGACAATTACACACACAGGGGGGCAGGGGAAAATAGACATGCAAAGTGACTGTGTGGTAGTGACATGCAAAGGGGCTAGGGGAGAAAGACACACAAATGGGCTGGGTTGAGACACAGAAGGGGGCTGGAGAGAGAACACAAAGGGTCTGTGGGCAAGATACATAAAAAGGGGCTGAGGAGAAAGAACACAAAAAAGGGCTGTGGGGAAAAAGACACACATAAAGGGGCTTGGGTGAAAGAGACACACAAAGAGACTGGGTTAAAGGGAAAGAAAGGACAAAGAAGTTGGGGGAGAAAGAGACACACAAAGTTGACAATTTTTTGCTTTGGAGAAGTGCAAGTAGCTGGTCTTGCATTGGGTGCAAAATAGCCTATCACTAGCCCTGCATATCCCCCAACATTGGCTTCCCATGAAACAGGACAGTGGTGTGCAGGGTAAATTGTGTAACTAGCACTGCCTAATTGGATCCGACCCATCCGGAAAGGAGAAGGAAGTGCCCAAACAACTGGCAGGCCAACCTCATATGAATGGTTGCCAGACTATTTGCACTGTGTCCCCTCCTGCCGGTCATCTGGAAATAGTGCCCTAGTTTTCCGTTCCTGGCGTTATGATGGGGGTTATGTACAAAGAAAGAGTGTTGTGTGTAGGCAGTTCTGTTTCAGTATACTCTTCTGACTCTTACAAACCCTGAGTGTACAGCAAGCATCTAATGATGTACCCACACTACGCTTTCTAAAGACAGTTTCTTAGTGTCTCCATAAGCCCAACACCAGTGAACAAAGTCGAGGCATTGGGACAAGGCCCTAAAATTGGGAGTGTTGGGAGGCCAGTGCCAGCATATGAATCCTCAAGTACTACTTAGTTATTTTAGTAGTTGTTTCTGTGAACATTCATCACAGCGATTGCCTCTTCGCCCATTTCCTATTTCTTTTTTCTCAGCAGGGGAACGTGCAACAATCTCTTGCTAAAGCTAAAGCCAGCAGAGTGCGGAGAACGCTGATATACAATCGTTTTACGTAGTGTGTATCTCTATACCATGGTGGTCATTACTGGTCATATTCATGTCTATGCACCTTTACTAGCAGTTTTATCACAAGAACAACAGATCTGTTTCTAACTGGTTACAACAGTGATCATGCTATCTCAGTTTATCTCAGCTATAGGTTGTTCAAAATAATGACTGCTCAAGGTAATCTTGTCTTCCATTCTTTATTCACAGAACTGCAGCAGTATCCATTGTAAAGGATGGCGGAAAAAGGCACTGGGCCAGTTTTACAATGGCAGATGTAATTAAATAAAATGTGAGGAGTCAAAAGCTAAGAACCACACAGGAGACTAATGGCAGTGAGTTCAGGGAGTTGAGAGCATTCCACATATAAAATACATTTACTTAAAATGTTCAAAGAATACAAGTACAGAAAACATGGAAAAACAAACAAACAAAAAATGACCCTTTGCTGTGTTTTACACTAACAACAGGGATTAGTAACAAATTGTATCTTCGGAAGGAAGGTACAATCTGTTTACTGCATCCTCTCCTTTTGTGACATGAGAGGAGTCGGGGGTATGGCTCTTCTCTACTATGTGAGTTAGTGGACATTGAATTACAAAAAAATAATTATGTAATAAAGTAAATTCTCTATGATAGTTTATACGTAGCTGCTGTCACAACAACCACACTGTGGCTGTTAAATAAATATCAACCACAATCCAAGGGCAAACATATAAAAGAAATATATATATACACACACAACATATTGTTACATAATCAATTAGGGACGGGACAAAACTCTGACCACGTTAAATTTTGTGGATTGTTGGCTTTTTTTGGTTTGTTTTTTGCTTTTTTAGAGAAAAATTCTCATGAATTTTTCACTAGTCGATATTCACATGATTAACTGTTGAAAAGAACACATTTGTATCTAAATTCCTTTGGTATGTACATAAAACCTCTGTAAGTTGACAAAAAGCTAAAGGTAATATTTGTACTTTTTTTTGCTATGTTCACAAAACATGAAACAGGTTAAAAATCACGGCAACATTTCTTCTGAACATAAAACGAAGGCTCAATGTTAATGTTAAAGCATTTTGCATTATATTAATTTAAATTAATACTTCCATAAATGTGTTGGGACCAGTTATAAGTTCCCTGCAGCCTACTTCAACCATCACTTCACCATAGTGTCATTAATATACCTTCTCCAGGACCAGGTAAATCCTTTGTCATCAAGGTAGTTTAGACATGTTATTGGTCCTGTATGGTTTAAAAAATTCATATTTGGGAAAAAAACACAACTAAATGTATCATCACAGCAAGATATTTGCCATATAAAAGAGCACTTCTTCTATATCTCTGTAAATCACATTTTACCATAAAAATAAATTATTACATGCAGGCAGAATCCTAGCAGGGAAGGCAGGAGTTCCTATTATCGCATGGGGATTTTGTTTTAATTATTTGTAAAAAAACTTTAGAAAAATTCCTACTAAATCTGAATGGGTGAATTTCTGCCCAGATTAGTTTTTTTTATACAGAAAATTACAGTTTGCCGATGAAAAAAAATCTTCTCCCTGCTTTCGGGGATTACAGAAGGAGAACATTGGTACTTAGAAAAAATTTAATAAATTAAAAATAAATACAACTTCAGTAGAACTTTATGTGTTGCTCCGTGAACCCCACACAGATAAGAACAGTGATAAATTGAGTTTTGGTTTGCATTTAAAGTCCGAGTTATATTTCCCACGTGGCATAAAATAGACATTTTTCAGTGGCTGTGTGGCTGAAACGTAGGCATGGTAACAGATAACCCAAACTGATTCAGTAAAATACCCCAACTCTTATGCATGCCTTATCTATAGTAATAGTTGTATTAAAGAAAAAAAAAATAAAGAAAAAAAATTGTCTTGAAGTTGAACTAAGGAGATCTGGGCAAAACATCTAGGCCTGGTTATTATAATTAGAAAGGTAGTTTATCTATGATTTTATTACAGAGCAGGGGATCAGTCATTGGTTATTTAGTTATATTAGAGGGAATATGGTTATTGATGATGCTTATGTTATATACCTGCTAACGGCAATCAGCCCTACTGCGGTAAATCTTAACAACATATGTTCAGCCAATCCTGTGTTGATAATATCTGTAGAGTATCCTCGACCAGCTTATAGGAACATGACTAAAGACCTGTTTGTTTTAGCACCATTGTGACCTTGGAAGCAAAATGTAGAAAGTTCCAAAGTGCAATTTTGTTTCAAAAATAATAATAGGAAGAAAAACTAAAAAATAATGACCGACCGGCAGTAATTGTAGGTTTCATCTGTTAAAAACAAGACAATATTGAAAGTGAATCACATCCCAATTATGGACTTCTGTAGTGTTGAAGAGGCCAACAAACATGTTTCATTTTGGTAGACTCTGCAAGATTGTAGGTTTTAAACCAGCATTAAATTCAAGTTTCAGAAATTAGTCCAATGGATCCGCTTAGGTTTTTAAATGTCATCTAAGGTCCTTTGACATTTCCAGGCCTAGACCCAAGACTTGCAAAGTAGGCACATTGTGATGGGTCACATTGTCCGTTGGGACCAGGGGGTCCTTGAGGTCCAACATGTCCAGGTAATCCTGGTTCACCTTGAGGTCCTGGGGTGCCTGGCAGTCCATCTTTAGCATACCCAGGTTCTCCTGGTTGACCTGTATAAAAAGATACAAGGCTGAAACATTTGTTTGTGATCAACAATCAAAACAGTAATGGATTAGATGACATCTATTTTTTTGCAAGATGTTTCCTTTTTTTATGTAGTATGTTTCTGCTCAAGTACTTAGGGTACTCATGTTTGGATTAACACGTCAAGATTCCTTCCATACTTGTTAAATAGCATGAGCTCACATTCACACACATTCCTCAGAGTACAACACAGTTCCAGATTTGTCCTGTGACCATAACAACTGTAATTTATACTTCTATTTTAACAGTATGAAGGCATAAGCCATAAGCTTGCATATGTGGTTTAGTATTAATAACATGTCCCAGTTTAAATTGGTTACAATACCTGAAGGACCAGGAGGTCCCATTTCACCTCTCTGTCCAACCCCATTTTCTCCTCTTTCTCCTTTGGATCCTCTGTCACCTAAGCAAGCCAGAAACAAACATAACTGAGATTCATAGCTTGGAAATATACAATGTTTAAAGTGATAACATATAAAGCTATATTATGCTATAATTTAACATTTTATAAAAAGGTTCTATACCACGCACATTAAACCCATAGTTACTATAGTCTCTAGTTATAAAGTGATGTGATGTAGATAAAGGACTAAAGTATTGAAGTTCTTATGTATTTACATCTCAGAAGATAATGATCGGTTATACATTTAGCAGTTAACAGTTGTATAGAGATATACTTTTTAACAGTATTAAAGTTATTATTATTATTGCCATTTATATAACACCAACAGATTCCATAGCGCTTTACAATATTATAAGATGGGGGATTTAACTATAAATAGGACAGTTACAAAACACTTAGAGGAACGATAGGTTGAATAGGACCCTGCTCAAACGAGGTTACAGTCTATAGGAAGTGGGGTATAAACCACATTAGGACAGGAAATAGCTATCAAATGAGGTGGGAGTGGAGCAGAGGTGGAGGAGAGAGTAGAGTGCTGCCCTTTAGGAGAGCAAGGGAGAGAGAGACAGGTATATAAGGTAGATGTTACTCTGGGAGGCCATACGCTTTCCTAAAGAGATGGGTTTTTAGGGCGCTTCTTAAAGGATTGAAGACTAGGGGAGAGTCTGATGGCAGTAGGCAGACTATTCCATAGGAAGGGAGCCACCAGCGAGAAGTCCTGCAAGCACGAGTTAGCCGTACGGGTGTGAGCAGCAGACAGGAGAAGGTCACAGGCAGAGTAGAGGGACCGAGGAGGGGCATATACTGTACTAGTGTATGTTTTTATAATTTCAAATAGAATACAGATATATCTTGATGTGAAATGATAATTTCAAGTAATACAAACATTTATGACTTTTTTTTTATATGATGCAATGGTTGTCTACAGGACATCGAATTAAACACATATATGGTTATATGGTTATCTACTAGAGTGGGAATTGGCAGGAATTCAGAAAGAATTCAAAGTGAATTTAACATTTTAGGCCAAAATACTGGAACGGATTGATGTATAACATCATTATAAACCCATTGTGGTTAATGTTGTTTTTAAATAGAATGTGAAATACTTCTAAAATGCTTGTGAATGTGTCATACAGTGTATATGAGTATATTTATAAAACATTCAGGGATATTTACTAAAGGAAGAATTCAAAGTGAATTTTAAATTTAAAGCCAGTATAGCTGAATGGAAAGTGTAGCTGACAATTTTTCCAGTTTATCTGTGTTGACTTTAAATGTTATAGTAGAGACGTACTGGATACTGCACTCACCAAATAACCCAGTTGCTCTGAAGCCAGGGCTGGCCAAGTCTCCCTTCCAAGATATGCAGAATAAATAGCGGTTCAGGCACTCTGGGATAACAAAAATAGCAGCTTTATTGTGGCAAAATCAGCAACGTTTTGACCCTACCGAGTCAAGCTTGATAAAGACCCGGAAGGGTTGAAATGTTGCTGCTTTTGCCCCAAAAAAGCTGCTATTTTTGTTATCCTGGAGTGCCAGAACCGTTATTTATTCTGCATATCTTAACTAATATAGTCACTTTGAATTCACCATTACTTCTTACTTTAGTGGATAATCCTGATAATTTCTGAAAGTTCAGGCCTCACATTTAGATCTTTATTCCACTTATCTCTTGTGATCTTCTAATAGACTTG